GTGTGTGTGTGTGTGTGTGTGTGAGCGAGAGAGAGAGAGAGAGACAGAATCAGAGGGCTCGTACTGTCGGTCGTATTTCTGAGCCAGGTATCATCCTGAGCTGTCTGGTGAGCCGTAAACATGGCCAGTAAATACTGCACAGCCTTCATCAAGGTGGCACACATGCACACACATGCACACAGGTGAATATACAGGCATTACAGGGACACACACACACAGAAATATTGTGACTATAATCTCTCTGCTGACCAAATCTCTGAGTTTGTTCCTGGAGGAGTGTCGACCTTTGACCTTTGACTTATAGCCTGTCAGGAGCTCTTAATATGTTTGCTTGTTGTGGTTTCTTAACACCTGTAGGCAAGCCGGAGTGTAGTCTGGATTTAAAAATTAAGAAGTGGTGAAAAAATCAGAAATATACATATCGTATATATACATGTGACAAATTAAAGGAAAATCTGAATAAATTAATGAATTTAAAAAACCCCCCACAATGAATGCAGGTGTTTCCACACAGGTGCTCTGCCTGTTGTAATTGAGCAGTTACCATCCATTCATGCTCTGTGGAGTGTGCACACCCAGCTGATCCTGATTTTGTTACAAGCTGTCATGAGGAAAAGGTCTAAGTGACTCTGAAAAGGGGGCATTTATGTGACGAGCGTCACTGTCAGCTTCTGGCTCAGCTGCTTTCAGCAGGAAGATAGATGGAGCTTCTGGGTCTTAAAACTGAATTCTTTCAGTTGCCACCAGGGGGCGATGCCTGCAGTTGGAGAAAGACTATAAAGTCTACACAAAAGCCTTTCCCTGACTTGAACTCTGTAAACTGCTCAGTTTGTCACCTCAGTCGCTCATTTTGGGTCATATTGAAGGAAAAAATAATCCATATTTATAAATTTTATTTTAAGGTTCAGGAAAGAGGATTATCTGGGATCAGCCAATGAGCACTTGATTTCTCAGTCAGACCCGCCCATCTCTCGTATTGATGGGAAATATGAGTAATACAAAATTCCAGCATTCACAACAGGACTTAAGAAACTATAGTGGGTGACATCAGTGTGGCTGCATCAGGTCAAATTCAGATTTCACATTCAGATTGTCACGGCTAACGGGGTGAGCCGTGTAGAGGAAATAAATGAGGATACACTGACATAAGACACGGACCTTCACAATAAAACAGGAAACAATTCACGAGGACGCAGACTTGACACCAAACTAAATCTACACTAAACACGAGGGCACAAGACACAAAACCTAAGAACAAAACCCTAAACCAGAATAAATTGAAACATAGGATATAATATTCAAAACAAGATAACAAAAGAATCAGAAGTCATAATACAGAAGAATACTAAAACATAAGGAACTGAATGAAATGACCTAGAACCGTAACACAGATTCATTACATCACAGATCCATTGCTGAGCAAAATTATGTGACAAACAAGAAAACCTCCATAAAAACTGGAGCGTGTTTAAAAAGACTTTAAGGCAACCAATAAAATAAACAAATTCGTCTTTCATAGCATCTGTATTCTGGGACAATTTAAGCTACCGGTAGGAGTTTTCACCGTCACCATCCTGGTGTTTGAACTGGAAATGCAGACTGAACACTGAATGCTCATTGGCTGATGGAATATTGTTTCCTTTTTGACAAAATAACCGCCTAAAACACAATGTTGTGTTTACAAATACTGAGCTCTTAAAATCAAAAGAAAACAGTTTCCTTGAGGTTACAGGAAGTGAGGAGTCGCCCCCTGCTGGCAATTAACAAGAATGCAGAATTAAGTCACTTCAGTTTTGGGATCTGTAAGCTCCAACTTGGCGCTACTGTATTGTGGTATTGACTAATTTTTGCGGCCACACTCAAGAGGCCATTCGAGGAACAGAGTCAGCATGAGGCTGTCGTTATGAAAGCAAATGCACGTTTCGAGTTCAGTGGTTTCCAAACTGCAGACGCACTGGTTTACAAAAACCTGGGGAAAAAAGGCGATGAGTCATCGTTCTGCATATACTCGGCAAATCTGCGACTTCATGTGCGGCGAAGAGAACGATTCAGGCCTGAACGCTTGACTTCTGCGGTTAGGGGTCAAGGGTGACGGTGTTGTTCTGTAGGTGGGGCTGGTTTGGTGGTAAGAGTCACTTCAGATCAATTGTTGACCCCACCCCCTCCCCAATGTAAGGGGCACTTTCATTGTTTCTATAGACGCTACAGAAACCAGCTGGCTCTCCACATAGAGAAATGATTGGTTCATTAATCATAGTTACTGACAGGAAGTTTATGGCAGCAATTATGATAACATTTTTTAAGCACACAAATCACTCGATCCAGCCTCTGAATGGTGAAGATGTCTTAGTTTAACTTTCCCAGTTTGCTGTTACGATAAAGTCTAAGTTGTATTTTTTGTGTGTGGCTGCTATATGACTTTATTATGACTATATTTGCATAGCTAGATTATTAAAATAAAAGACACATGATTAATTTGCATAAAAATGGAACTAAACCACATTAAATGACTTTACAGTGAACAACAGCAGGTGATCAGGAAAATGTATCCTTAGTGTTAGTTACAAAGAAATCCCAACTTTGGTTGTGTATAGTTTATGTTGGCCT